AATTTAATAATTTAAGAAGTAACTACTTTTTAAAAGATGATCATTCTTACTTATAAATAGGAATAAATTTATCGTCTTTAGCATGTTTATTAGTAACTTGATTAACATTAGAATACATTAAACCATATGACTTTGTCATGAAACTTCGCTTTATATTGTTTAGTACAATTGTATTTATACATTTTGGTAATAGTAACATTGTATCTGTTAACTCTGTGGCTCTAGTTTAAATCTTGTATATTTAAATAATAAATTAATATACAGTTGATATTCTATGATCCGATGATCGTTAATCAATATGATTTGTGGGTGATATATAAGAAAAATAATAATAATATAACTGCAATAAATTTAATTTAAAAACAAAATAGCATAACTTGTCACTGCAAACTGTCGTAACGAATAAATATTAAATACAGACTTAATACTTATGTATTATGAATATTGCAAAATGCAAATTGACTATATTTAATATTTATTTTGTTTTTTTTTTTATCTTTATCGCAATATCACTATCAGAGACATAATATTTTGGTAAGGTATCGCCACCATAGACCTTATACCCACTGAACTCTATAGAGTTCAGTGCCTTATACCGTATAAGGTCTATGATCGCCACAGATTATTCATAATAAACTTCTCTGATAATGTGATAGCTGATGTTGCTGATATCAAATTCCAAAAGTAACAGCACAGAATATATTATGAAATTAAATTATTTAAATTAAATTATTATTATTATTATATTTCATATATTCAGTGGTAACAGTTTAAGAGTTTAACTTCTAGACTTTAACTGTTACCCGTGTGGCCGTGTCAATTCTTTATCGTTTTCCGATATGTTATCCGTTATCGATTTCAATCGTTTTTTGAATAGTTTATCGTTATACTCRTAACGTTATAAAAACGTTTTAAAACTCTGTGCATATCCCAATATTTCAATACCATATCAAATATTTTTGACTTTACCTGTATCTTCAGCATCTTGCRAACGAAGTTTTAGTAAGTTAAAATTAATCAAATCCTATCTTAGATCTTCAACAAATCAATACAGACTCAACCATCTTTCAATTATTTCAATCGAAAATAAAATTGCCAAAAATTTAGATTATGACGATCAGGGCCGTATTTAGGAATTTGACACCAAGGGGCAACAAAAAAATACGCCTCATTAATCATTATACAAAATACAAATTTAAATTATAAAAAAATTAGCCCCCCCTCTCCTACTTAGCCGCCCAGGGCAACAGTACCCTGTAGCTCCCCCCTAAATATGGCTCTG